AGATACTGTATAATGTTTAAATTAATTTTGTATAACAAAAACAAAGAATTTTTAAAAAAATATTTATATCTTAAAATTTTGTCTATAAACCTTTTTTTTTTTTTTTTTAATATTTAAACAGTTTTGCTAGTACTTTTATCAAATATATAGCAAAAATTTAGAGTATTAATACATTATCTAATTTAATAAGTTTAACATTACTTAAATATTTTAAAAATACTTTGTATAACTTGCTGCACTAATTTATCTAAATAACAAACTAAAAAGTTATATTAAGTATTCTTTGTTTTAAATTCCTTCTTTTTCTCATAAAGCTAAATGAAGAAAGAGATATATAAATGGACTATAATCATTTGTTGGAGAAGTATAAAAGAAAAAAAAAAAAAAAAAGAGATCTAAATAGAATAACAAGAAGACAAAGTAAAAAAAAAGAAAAAAAAGAAACTAAAAAAAATAAAGTCTACTCTGACTGCTCTAATTCTAATTAAAAGAAAGAGTAAGCCTTAAAAAATACTATTATAGCCTGTGAAAGGCTTGAAAAAATTATATAACAAATGTAATATCTGTATATCTCTACTATAAAGCTTTGCCTTAACATATAAATTTTTTTTTAATTATATAACTATTTTCAAATATTTCTTTAATTGAGACCTAGATCCATAAAGTAGCACCATATCCAATAGTAAACAAAACATGTAGTTGCAATCTACTAGGTTGTTCAAATTTGAAAGAAGTAAACAATGCTGATCTTTTAATAGAAGTAAGCTATTTTGCCTACTTTTTACAAAAATTTTAAAAAAAGAGCAAGTAGGTAATAATATAGAAAATAGCTCTTGTACTCTTTTTTAAAGAATATATATTTTTTTCTAAAAGTAGTAGAACATATAGAGCCAAGTAAACTGATACCTTTTTTGTCAATAGATGATAAATTCTGAACTTGTTAACAAGTAGCATATAAGAACTACTTTTAAATAACAAATACTATTCTTATGATGAGTGATAAGCTCTAAGCCTGTTAGCAGATAGTATATAAAAACTATCTCTAAATAACAGGTGCTAGTTTATGGTTTTGGTTAGTCTTATGCTTCTTTTTTTTATCATAGTTTACTATTTTTTAGAAAAAAAGTTTGTTGTTTTTTGATACGAGAGAATATCAGAAAGAGTTAATATTATATGAGAATAAGTTTTTTTTGATAAAACTATTTTTTAAGCTCCAACAAAAAAAATTTTTTGCTAAATTTTATTATATATAAAACACTATTTTAATCTTAACTTTAATTTTAATCTTTAACTCTTACTCTAATTTTAAAGATATTAATTTTTTGTTTTAATAAAAATTAATTATTTTTATAAATTATGAATAATAATTATCTGTAGTAAATATTAGTTAATTTTTTTTTTTATTTTAGCTTATCTTTTAAACTGTTTTCTAGACAAATTTGTCTAGAATTTTAAAAAGAATTTATAATTTTTTAAATAAAATTAAAAATTATTAATAGATACAAGACATGTTCTCTTTGTTGCTATTTAATATAAATCAAATAAGTTGACTTACTCAAATTTATATATAAAATTTGACAAAAAAATATATTTCTTTAATTTATTTAAAAAAATAAATATAAAATATAATTTTAAATATGGAACTTATATTCTTTAGTATTTGATACTTTTTTAACAAAAATTATAAAGCTATATATTAAGTAGTTTTAAAAGAATCTTGAGCTAAAGTTGTTCAATTCTTTTTTATATTTTTTAAATCAAATAACTGATTTACTTAAAGTGATAATATAATTAGCTAAAACAATTTTTTGAAAATTAAAAAAAGTTCTACTAAGTAAAGATCTTTTTTAGTTTTAAAAAAACTTGTAGAAAAGGTTTTTAAAATCCCAATGGTAGTTAAATTATCCAAATTGGCTTGGTAGATCTCAAGATACTTGGGGTTAAAGATACAAACATAGGGATCTGCAAATTTATTATTATATAAATAAAGATTGCTTTAGCCAATCATATTATTTTATAGGAGTTGTAAAGACAAAAAATACACCAATTTTAAAGCAAGATCCTTTTAAAACTATTTGATATTTAAGTTTGTAACTTTTGCTAAAGAATCATTAAATGTTAAAGAATATAAGTTCCATATTTAAAATTATTTTTTATATTTACTTTATTGAATAAATTAAAGGAAAGTATTATTTTTATCAAATTTTATATATAAATTTGGGTAAGTCAACTTATTAATTTATATTTAACAATATTTTGAACTCCTATAAAGAGACATATTTCATGTCTGTTAATAATATAGAGTATATTTTATATATACAATATTTTATTTAAAATATATTTTATAAGATTTATTATAAATTTTTTTTTGATTTTACTAGAAATCTTTAGAGTAATAAAAATTTAAAGCTCTTGCTTTAAAAATTTTTACTATAAAATTTTTCTTTAAATTTTCTAAATTTTTATATATTTTTGTCCTTAAAAAAATTTTTGTTTCTAATACAAGTTTTAATTTTTATTAGTAAATCATCAAAAGTATAATAATAAAAGTTGTTGTTTTTTATATAAACTACAATATTGTATTAAAAACTATAGGTTTAAAACTAATATTTAAAAAGTTTGTCAAGAATTTGTAAATAATTTTTTTAGTTAGAATTTTTTTTTAAATTTATTTGTTTTTAGTTTATAAGCAATCCAAACTTTTTTCTTATAATATAAAATTAAATACTACTATAATATAATCTTTATTTTTAAATATTATTAAAAAAAATTTTATTTAAATATTTTAAATTTTAAAAAAGTAAATCATAAACAAATTTATAGCAATTTTCTAGGCAAATTTGCTTGGAATTGACTACAATTTAAGAGATAAGCAATTTAAGCTTTTTTTTTATAATATAAAGTTAAATATTGCTATAATATAATTTTATTTTTTAGATATATTTTAATTTTTAAAAAAATAAATTAATTTTTTAAACAAATTTGTTTAAATTGTTTATAGTTTAAAAAATAAAACTATAATATAAAAATTTATTATTGTATTTTAAATTATTTTAATTTTAATTCTAGCTATAGTATTTATAATTTATATGCTTATTTATTTTAACTAAAAAAAAATTATTGTACTATATTTATAAATTTCTAACAAACTTTTAAAATCTTTAATATAATATATGTATATTATAATTTATATAAAAAATAACAATTTTATTTATAAAAATTAAAACTTAAATATATATATTAAAATAAATTGTATATATATTATACGTATACAGTATTTATAATAATTTTGTCAACACATATAGTATTCATACAATATATTCAGTAGTATATTCAGTATATTGATGTATAGTAATTTTAATTTAAAGTTATACGTAATATGTATTATTTTTAATACAGTATATAATATAAAATACACACAAAAATCTAAATATATACTATAATTAATACGCATTTGATATATAATTTTCTTAAAAAAATCAATTTATTAGATGCCACTATACCGATACGCCTTTACAAATAACTATACGTACGTACGTATATCTTGGGTGTCAGTTTTATTTGTTTGTTACATTATATAATACGATTATTTTCATGTAAACACATTGAATGGTTTTTTTTTTCTAAGAATAATGATAATCTTGCATAACAAATTCTTTACACTAACGCAAAACCAGAAGTGAACGGGATTAGCTTTTTTCGGATTTAAGATCTTCAATATAAAAAAATTTTCCGGATCGTGGTTATTTAAAGCAATACGTAATTTTGCACATTGCTGACAGATCTGTCTTTAATAACATAAATGGAATGATTAAGAATAGATTCTCATGTAATATCGATAGAGCTTGTGAAATTCTTCTACATAAAATTAATAATCTAACAATGAAATGACAACTTAGTTGGGAATCTTTAATTTTAAAGATTTTTTCCTGTTTAGTTAAATTAGTTATCACTGTTACGATGTAAAGACGATCTCTTGTTTTCGTAAATCTAAATTATTCGGAAATCTTATCGTACATTATAAACGCATGAGCCACAAAGCATATTGGCATATTCCTTAGGTCAATGATACAAACTTATCTGTACATATCAGAGATCGGCCATTTGAGCATTGGGCATTGGGGAGATTACAGTTTAAAGTAATGATCGTATATAATGCTCATCAATGATTCCCCATTTAATATTAAATGTGTATGTGCGCAATAGGATTTACAATTCTTTGGCACAACAGCTCGAGTATCCAACTGCATTATCTTTCCTTTGTTCTTATTATAAACAATGGACCTATTGTTCCTGATGCGCAATGGAATAAAAAACAATGTTTTTTTTTTTTCTTTTTTTTTTTTTAAAAAAAAAAAAAAAAAAAAAAATAAATTCCATTCCAAGTTAGCTAGCATTCACTATGAAAACACAGTGCCAACAAATAAATTACCTAATAATAAACTATGTAAGACTGTTTACGTATATACATGAAGTGTGTAAGTATTTTTTTTCTAATGCCAGGCTTGTGACTGTACAGAATAATTCTTTCCATATATGCATTTATTTAGTTCGATTTTAAAATAGTACCCTCATTTGGGAAAGTACATACCTGCAAATTCTGCAATTTGGTGGCCCCGACCATCAAGGTTTACTATAAGTTTTCTCACGCGACCGATTCAGTTGGTCTTTGCAAAAACTCTATTTAACACAGATTATTATGTAAGATTTATAAATTCTTTTCATCTGCTCACATTTGATTGCAGTTACTGGTAAAAATTTTTTTTTTTTTGTATATAAATATTCGTGATCTTTATGACGTTCGAAAAAAATAAAGTGAAATCGTCCTTTCGCATTTTCATTTTTCGACTTTGAAAGCTACATTCTTTGTTTTTTTTTTCTACACGATTATATATATATATTACTCATCGAAGCCGTTTACTTGTTTCTCTACAAACGTCGAAATGTCTTATAATTCAGTGTACACACACACACACACACACACACACACACAACCTACCATGTACAGGACGTCGTTTTCGCCGCCTCTTCATAATAACGGTACTACTACAAACAGTGGTACAACTAATGGTCCCTACTACCTCCATCCTAACACTCCGTCCATAAACGACCACCCTCAGTCGCACCAACAACAGATGGCGTCTCAAACTTTGCAACAGCAAAATTCAATGGCTACTGCTAACCCTCAGTGGCCTTCACCAGATAAGCAACGTCTAAGCTCTCAAATTTTCACTTCTGGATCTAATATACCTTTTGGTCCTGGTTACCCGTCTGCAAATGGTTCAAGTATGTGAATTTTTTCTTTTTTTTTTCTTTTTTTTTTATTTTTTTTATTTTTTTTTTTTTATTCCATCATTTTTTATCACGTTTTCTTTTTTTTGGGGTCATCTGTTCGATTTTTTCTTTATATGTATTTGTTGTGGCTTTGTCTACTTGGAATGCATCTGATTTTTATGCAAAAAAAAATCTTGCATAGTATCATAATCAATAAGAAAATTATGAATTTTAAATTTTTAAAACAATCCAACTTTGGAATGATCGATGTGATGAAGTGTTCATCTTGTCCGTAAAAAGTTTCAACTCTTGAGGGCAAACAATTATTATTTATTTATTTATCATTTTGGGCTGTTCTATTTATCTATTCTTTTAATTCGTTCATCTTTCTTGTGTTTACGTTTATCACTTTTCTTTTTACCACTATTCATTATTGTTTATTATTAGTATTTTTATTTCAATTTTTTTTTTAACACAACTTTATTTACACTTTCTTTTCCTTTTTTTTTTATTTTTTTTATTTTATTTCATTATGGAACAACCAGTGCATGTATTAGATGATAAAACTAAAGCTCAACGACCAATGATGGATGGTCCAAGTATTTCTTTACCTGCTCAGTCTCCTCTTTCTTCCTTCGGTGTTCAGCAGCCTTCTACTGGTGCGCCTGCTCTTCCCCCTCCTCAAAATCAACCTGTTCAACATGTCGATATCCCTTCAAATGTTGCTAATATGTCTGCTGGAAGAAATCAAAATCGAACTTTAACTAATTCTAAGCGTGCTGCTCAAAATAGGGCTGCTCAGCGTGCTTTTCGTCAGCGTAAAGATAGGTATATTAAAGATTTAGAAGCAAAGGCAAAAAGTTTAGATACAATAAAAAAGCAATTTGAAAATTTACTTAAAGAAAAAGATGAAATGGCTCAGATCATTCGTAATTTACGTATTGAGATTGCCAAATATAAGGGTGAAGAGATTAGTGATGATGAAGGCCGTCAGTCATTTGGTGGAAATAATAATCCTGCTAGTTCTAGTTCTTCTTATTCTCATTATGGAAATCATGCGAGAGATGATGAATCTCAAGGTCTTGGTGAAGAACCTTGGCTTAGACATAAGGATGGTCGTAAGGAAGGTTCATCTACTTCTATGTATAATATGAATGATGAACGTCCTAGTTCCTTCCCTTTTTCTCCTAGCTCTTCTTCATCGAGTTCTTCTACAACAAATCGTTCTGGATCCGGTCTTACTGAATCTTCACAAAGAGGGTCCGGTTTAATTTTACCTTCTGGTCACAATACCGATTCCTCTGTTGAACCTTATTTTAGGCCTGATTATCGCAATGCTAATTCTCATTCTAGTCCTTCTCCACCTTCTTCTTCTGCTGATCGTAACATTCGTGGTTCATATAGTAATAATTCAGTTTCAAATGGAAGACCTGGTTATTCCAGTAATGAAGAAGATACTGATCGTGTATATGATGATTTGTGCGAGTTATTAAAGACCAGGACCCGTCCAGCATTACCCCATAATATTAATGTATGGCCATCATCTCATCCTCATTCACCAAATCAAACGAATGTTGTGGCGACAAATGGAAGTGGTACTGTTGTTGGGTAAACGGTCGTTCTGATATTAGAATTAAGCAAAAAGCGAAAATCAAAAAAAAAAAAATTTCAAAAAAAAAATTCAAAAAAACAAAATAAGAACAAAATAGGGAAAAAAAATGAATTTGTACATTTATTATCAGTATTGTCAAGAAAAACTTTTGGGTAGGTCTTGATTGCGTTTCCCTTTATTTTTTATTTTATTTTATTTTATTTTTTTTTATACTTTGGTGGATCAAAATAATAGTTTCGCGTGCCCAATAATAATTACAACATGTGATTTTACACCTTCAAGTATTCTCTCAATTTTTTGCCTTTTTTTTTTTTTTATCCATTATTGCAGATGCATTCAGAATCACTTCGTAGGTGAACATGAACATGCAATGCAAATCCACCTTTTTCTCTTCCGAAATTGGATTTTTCTTGCACCGTACTTTT